CTCATCAGCCCGTCCAATGACGAGCTAGAAAACCTAACAACATTCGCACAATCCTAGACCAACTGCTCTCACATCATCATGGTGGGGTCACAGGCTGCCTGGACCCGCTAGCGTCGGCGTCGCCATATGGATTCTCGCCTGCTGGCTGCTCGAGACCGAACGGCATGGCCCATGACGGCGACGGGAGGCTGTCCTCAATCATGATGGGTTCCATCTGTCGCTGAATATGTTGCAATTGACTGCGACCGAGCACGTGGAGATCCCAACCACGATTCTTACGATCGCTGCAGGCTCCCTCATCATCACGTTGACGTTTGCGGCTGGTATCTTCGCCATCCAGGGGGCCTGAAGCTGGAACTGCTGACAAGCCTGAAGCTGGAACTGCTGGTGGGCCTGAAGCTGGAACTTGCACCCGTGGGCCTGAAGCTGAGATTGCTGCCTCTCCTGGTGTCGGGTCCCCGCGGCGAAGCACAACATCGACTGGGAGCATCATAGTGAACACTGCATTGTCCAATTGTTCAGGCAACGTGGGCTCGAACAACTCGAGTGATAGTTTGGGTCCAGGTCTGGATGCCGACACCGGAATCAACACGAATGGTTTCTGGTACCATACAGATATGGAAATGTGCCATGCAAAGCTTGAGCCAAAACGAGCACGGAATTTCTTGCCGTGCATCTGCGATTCCACTCGCAGTGCAGCCTCGAGAGATTTTATTGTCACGATGGTTTTGTCTAACCGGGAGTGTTCCATCACGGCCGCACGCCGCGCCCCACAAAATTGGACCACGTGCTATACGGACACTGACGCCCGTTCCCTCCCCACCCCAAGCATACGTCATCATTGTCCCACGTGTTTGCTTCAACCCATCTGCACCAGCTGCTTGTGTTGCGGCACTCCGTGCCGCCAAAAAATACACACGCAATGCACCGACTAGATTGATCAGTCCCTGCCACGTGCAATCCCCTCGTCGCATGGGCCTTCCCTGGCCCACAGCCGCGGTGGGAAGGCGATTGATCAGTTGCTCGATCCCTTCCCCCATCCTCGCACATTAACCTCCTCTCTCATCCTTCTTACCCCCCCCCTCCCCTAATCACCAGAATGGCAGGCTGGCCAGAGCAGGCCGCCAGTCACACTGCAGCGTATGCACAGCTCGGATCCACGTGCGGAAGTAAACGCAGCTTGAAGAACATCGACTTTTCCCATTGAAGCTTGTGGCACGACTGAGCTATACCAGCTATGACCGTGGAGCTTCAGCCACCAGTCGTCGTCCCGTCTTGCCGTTCCCCACTTCGTGGCGGCCGCAGTCCAGGATCACGCCTGGGCGATGTCGGCCGAGGGAGCAGCGCGCTGGGGAGGCGACCGCCCAGGGCGAGAGTCCACGGGACCGAGAGAAGGTCTGGCTGCGGACTGCTCGCGCCCAGCAGGTCTGGCCGAAAACTGTGCGAGGGACACGCATGCGGACTGCGCCACGGGGACCTTCGGTGGGGCCCCATATGGGGCCACGAAGCGTTGTACTGGGTGAGGGAGACGCATGCGGACTGCGCCACGGAGACCTTCGGTGGAACTCCCTATTGGGCCACGAAGCGTGTGAGGGGTGTGCCGAAATGAGTGGCGGGCCCGCATGAGGACTAAGCCGCTGGGACCTTCGACAGAGCTCCTAAGGGGCCACGAAACGTGTGAGGGGTGTGCCGGAATGAGTGGTTGGGGACGCATGCGGACTGTGCCACGGGGACCTTCGGCGGAGCACCTATGGGGCCACGAAGCGTGTGAGGGGTGTGCCGAAATCAGTGGCGGGGACGCATGCGGTGCGGACTGTGCCACTGTGACCTTCGGCGGAGCTCCTATGGGGCCACGAAGCGTGTGAGGGGTGTGCCGCAATGAATGGCGGGGACGCGTGCGGACACTGCCACCGTGGCCTTCGGCGGAGCTCCTATGGGGCCTCGAAGCGTGTAGGGGTGTGCCGACATGAATGGTGGGGACGCATGCGGACTGTGCCACTGGGACCTTCGGCTGAGCTCCTGAGGGGCCACGAAACGTGTGAGGGGTGTGCCGGAATGAGTGGCGGGCACGCATGCGGAGTGTGCCACTGGGGCTTTCGGCGAAGCTCCTATGGGGCCACGAAGCGTGTGAGGGGTGTGCCGAAATCAGTGGCGGGGACGCATGCGGACTGTGCCATTGGGACCCTCGGCAGAGCTCCTATGGGGCCACGAAGCGTGTGAGGGGTGTGCCGACATGAGTGGCGGGGACGCATGCGGACTGTGCCACTGGGACCTTTGGCGGAGCTCCTATGGGGCCACGAAACGTGTGAGGGGTGGGCCGAAATGAGTGGCGGTGACGCATGCGGACTGTGCCGCTGAGACCGTCGGCGAAGCTCCTATGGGGCCACGGCGGAGCCCCTATGGGGCCACGAAGCGTTGTATTGGGTGGGGGAGACGCATGCGGACTGCGCCACGGGGACCTCCGGTGGGGTTCCATATTGGGCCACGAAACGCTATACTGGGTGGGTGAGGCGCATGCGGACTGCGCCACGGGGACCTTCGACGGAGCCCCTATGGGGCCACGACACGCTGTACTGGGTGGGGGAGACGCATGCGGACTGCGCCACGGGGACCTTCGGCGGAGCCCTTATGGGGCCACGACGCGTTGTACTGTGTGGGGGGCACGCCTGCGGACTGCGCCACGGGGACCTTCGGTGGGGTTCCCTATGGGGCAACGAAAGGCTGTACTGGGTGAGGGAGACGCATGCGGACTGCGCCACAGGGACCTTCGGCGGAGCCCCCGTGGGGCCACGAAGCGCTGTACTGGGTTGGGGAGACGCATGCGGACTGCGCCACGGGGACCTTCGGTGGAGTTCCCTATGGGGCAACGAAACGCTGTACTGGGTGGGGGAGACGCCTGCGGACTGCGCCACAGGGACCTTCGGTGGGGCTCCATCTTGGGCCACGAAACGCTGCACTGGGTGAGGGAAACGCATGCGGACTGCGCCACGGGGACCTTCGGCGGAGCCCCCGTGGGGCCACGAAACGCTGTACTGGGTGGGGGAGACGCATGCGGACTGCGCCACGGGGACCTTCGGTGGAGCTCCCTATGGGGTAACGAAACTTGCGATGATGTTGATGATCGTTAATGTTGTTGTTGATGATGATGGTGATGATGATGATGATGTTGATGATGATGATGCTGATGATGATGATGATGATGATGACGGCGGTGATGGCGATGTTGATGATGCTGATGATGATGATGATGATGATGATAATGATGATGATGATGATGATGATGATGATGATGATGATGATGATGATGATGATGATGATGATGATGATGGCGAGGAGGAGGAGGAGGAGGAGGGGAAGAGGGAGGAGGAGGAGGAGGAAACCCCGGGAACGTCTCTTCAAAACGAGGACCCAACAACACAGGTTGGTTGGGAAAAACAATGCGGCCGTCGGCTTGCCTCGATGGGTGCCGGGGGCCGCCACCGCTGGAGAGGAGCCGCCAGCGCCAAGAATTGCGCAGGGGTTTTCGCGTTCAGCTCCGCGAGGAACTCGACAGCACTCTCCTGAGCTGCCTGCGCAAGGAATTACCCCAAACGTTTCCGCGACTCGGTGCCATGTCGAAGCGTACTGAGGATTGTTTGGTGGGCTCTTGGGGCCATCTTTGACCAACTTCGGCTCGTGGGATTCCGTCTGGGCCACTCCTCGGGCGTTCCTGGACACCTGTTGGGTCCTGCATGGTGGCGTCCCTGTTGGAATCTTGGGAGCACGCGGGGCCGCAGAAGGCCGACGCCCCCCACCGGCCCCGCGGCGTCTTCTTGCGCCGTGGGCCCCCGCAGTAGACAGGAGAAGAGTGGCAGCACGGGAGAGGCAGACGGCAGGAACGACGAGACCGCAATCATGGAAGCAACGAGGAGGGCGCCCCCGTGCAGGAGAACGCTCACAGCCCTGCGCGGCCAAGGGGGGCCGGCGGTTTCAGATGTTCCCTAGGTGCGCGAGTCTCGGCCACCCGCGGCCGCCTGCTTGCTTGGCATCGCCCGGACCTGTGCATTTTTTTTCCGGCGAGAACCATCGAGGACCATCCTGGACCATCGAGCCAAAAATTCACGCACGAAACCGAAAAATGCACAGGAAATGGACGTCCGAGCGATGGCAAGCCTGTCGGTGGCGGAGAGTGTGCCCTCGGTAAAGGGGCCGCGACTGCCCCATGCTTGGGCCCGGGGGATCCTAACACCCCTGGGGTGCGTTTGCCCGGGACGCGAATCGGGGGGACCTTGAGGTCCTGCTCGACTGGTGACCCGTCGGGGGCGGAAAAGAGGGGGGTGATGACTAGGGGGGGGGGGATATCATGGCGGGGGCCATGATGTTTCCCCTGATTTCATGGCGCCTCTTCTTATCTCATTACGTCCCTGCCCCCCCCGCTGGGCCGCGCACATGCCGCCGGTCATGATTTGCACCCCCCCCTCTTGGACACCCCCCTCTTGGCCGCTCCCGGTTGAGGTCCTGCTCGACTGGTGACCCGGCGAACCTGCCCGCATACCAAGTCATACTTTGCGCGCAGGGGCCCAGAAAGTCTGCCTTTCTCTCGTTGTGGAGGCACGCCCAGTGGCGCTTACCGCGAACACGCCTGGTCCTGCATGGACGAGGATGAAGGCTATTCGACTCCTGTGGGGGCCACCCCCCATCTTCTCCCCAGTTGCATTCCTCGACTCCTCCTTCTCATCTCCACCCCCCTTCCCGCCTTCCCTCCATCACTTCCTCCCCCCCTTCTCCCATTCTTCCTCCCCTCCCCCCCTTTCTCCTCCTCTCCCCTCCCCCTCCTTTTCCCCATCCCCCTCCTCACTTCTCCTCTCTTCACCCCCATTTCCCCCTCCTTTCCTCCATCACTTCCTCTTTCCTCTTCCGCCGCCGCCGCCTCCTCCTCCTCTTCCCACCCGCCCCCCCTCCTCCCCTCGAGAAGAAGAAGGCCAGGGCCACCCCCAAAGCCGTCCTCGCCCCCCCCCCCCGCCCCCCCTCGCCGCGAGGCGGGGCCAAGGGGCCCGCGCCGCCCCCCCGGCGCCGCGAGCCGCCGAAGTGGCGAGGCCCGGCGGCGTCCGCCGCCGAGGAGGAGGAGGACGAGGAAGGAGACGAGGAGGAGGAGGAGGAGGAGGAGGAGGAGGAGGAGGAGGAGGAGGGGGAGGGGGAGGGGGAGGAGAAGAGGAGAAGAGGAGAAGAGGAGAAGAGGAGAAGAAGAGGAGGAGGGGGCGGAGAAGGAGGAGCAGGAGGAGGAAGAGGAGGAGGAGGAGGAAGAGGACGAGGAGGAGGTGGAGGAGGAGAAGGAGGAGGAGGAGGAAGAAGAGGAGGAGGAGGAGGAGGGGGAGGGGGAGGAGGAGGAGGAGGAGGAGGACGACGAGGAGAGGAGGAGGAGAGTGCAGGTGGAGGTGGAGGGGAGGGGGAGGAGAAGGAGGAGGGGGAGGAGGAGGAGGGGGAGGAGGAGGAGGAGGATGAGTCGAAGCGAGACAGGCCGCGAGGCGGCTACTGCAGAGGCCCGCGTCGCCCACCCTTCGGCGCCGCGAGCCGCTGGAGCAGTCGTCGCGGCGATGAGGCAGCCGGCCACCGTGCTGGTGAGGCCAAGGCCCTCCTCCTCCTCCTCCTCCTCCTCCTCCTCGCCACCTTCGATTCCCTTTCTTATCCTCCTTCTCCTCCTCCTTCCTCCTCCTCCTCCTCCTCCTCCTTCCTCCTCCTTCCTCCTCCTCCTCTTCCTCGTCGGCGCCGCGAGCCGCCGAAGCGGTCGTCGCAGCGACGAGGCAGCTGGCCACCGTGCCGGCGAGGCCAAGGTCGTCGTCGCCGCCGCCGCCGTCGCCGTGGAGGCCGTTGTTGTCACTCGGGGGCGTCCAAGAGAGGGGCGAGGCATTGGTGTCATGGCCGGGGCCACGAAACCTCTCAGATCTCGTGGCCCGTTTGTTCATCCAAAACTTGGGCGGGGCTTGGACGAGGATACGCCCGCGCCAGAGCGTTCCAGAACGCTCTCGGAGCGTTCGAGAACGCTCTGAGAAGGCCGCGACGCCCGACGCGCCTTCCAGAGCCGCGGGGCCTCAGAGATGCTCGGTGTATCCTCGCCCGACGTTGTCCTCGAGCTGGCTGCGTCTTGCACCACGTCCCCCGGCCCCCCCCCTCGTCCGCGCGCGCTGGCCCCCAGCCAGGGGCCAGGAGGCGCCCTCTCCTCCTCCTCCTCCTCCTCCTCCTCCTCCTCTCCTCCTCCTCCTCCTCCTCCTCCTCCTCCTCCTTCTCCTCCTCCTCCTCCTCCTCCTCCTCCTCCTCCTCCTCCTCCTCCTCCTCCTCCTCCCCCCCTTCGGCGCACCCGCGGCTGCGCCGAAGTCGCGGGCGCCGTCGCACCGACGAGGCCGCCGGCCCCGCACCAGCGAAGCGAACGCCGTCGTCGTCGTCGTCGTCGTCGTCGTCGTCGTCGTCGTCGTCGTCGTCGTCGTTCTCATTGTCGCCACCCTCCTTCGCCCTCGTTCCCCGTCTTCTTGCAGCCTCGCGCGCTCGGCGGCGCGGCGCCCGGCGGGCCCCGCCCGACGCTCCCCGTGGCGCTTGGGAGGCCCCCCCGGCGGGCCCCCAGGGGATGGCTCCGGCGGGGCCCCCGAGGGCCCCCGGCGCCCCACGGAGTCGACAAGTCGTCCCGACCCACGAGCCCATGCGTTGTGAGCAGCTGGGGGTCTGGGGCGGTCGCAGATCTTGTGGCGGGGTATCAGCCTGGAAACTCGCCAGAGCAACGCGTGCACAATTTGACTGTTACAGCGTTTTTTTCGTAAATTACGCTACCGAGGAACCCCACATACTTAATTTAAATCTGATGTGTTTGCTTATGTATATATATATATATATATATATATGCACAATCCTGCGTTCTGAGCCCTCGTCGCGAATGTTCCCTATGGGTCATCCAACGCCAAATTGCTTGACCCTCCTCCCTCTTCCCAGCCTTCTATCCTCCATCGAAGACAGGTTCGAGGTGGTCACCGATGTGGGGTTCCGCCGGCTTGAGCCGCGATGTTTACGGATCAGGGTAAGACGCAAGCTCTCACGCGCAATGCGGTGGATAATCACTGCACCAAGAGATCACCCCCTGCGCTGGCCCTATAGTCCCGGGAGAGTGCCACGCCTGCTAAGCTTTGCGACAGTGTCGTGGGTGGCGGCCGCGCTCAGAGACCCCCTGTGGTGTCGAGAAAGTGCCACGGCTGCAAAGCTTTGCGCCAGTGTCGTGGATAGCGGCCGAGCTGAGAGACCACCCCCTGCCCACCCCCTTTGGTGTCGAGAAAGTGCCACGCCTGCTAGGCTTTGCGCCAGTGTCGTGGATAGCGGCCGAGCTGAGAGACCACCCCCTGCGCACCCCCTGTGGTGTCGCGAAAGTGCCACGCCTGCTAGGCTTTGCGCCAGTGTCGTGGATAGCGGCCGAGCTGAGAGACCACCCCCTGCGCACCCCCTGTGGTGTCGAGAAAGTGCCACGCCTGCTAGGCTTTGCGCCAGTGTCGTGGATAGGGCCGAGCTGAGAGACCACCCCTGCGCACCGCGCTGAGAGACCACCCCCTGCGCACCCCCTGTGGTGTCGAGAAAGTGCCACGCCTGCTAGGCTTTGCGCCAGTGTCGTGGATAGCGGCCGAGCTGAGAGACCACCGTCCTGCGCCAAGCGGCCGAACTGAGAGACCACCCCCTGCGCACCCCCTGTGGTGTCGAGAAAGTGCCCACGCCTACTAGGCTTTGCGACAGTGTCGTGGATAGCGACCGAGCTGAGAGACCACCCCCTGCGCACCCCTGTGGTGTCGAGAAAGTGCCAACGCTGCTAGGCTTTGCGCCAGTGTCGTGGATAGCGGCCGAGCTGAGAGACCACCCCCTGCCACCCCCTTGGTCGAGAGGGTGCCACGCCTGCTAGCCTTTGCGCCAGTGTCGTGGATAGCGGCCGAGCTGAGAGACCACCCCCTGCCCACCCCCTGTGGTGTCGAGAAAGTGCCACGCCTGCTAGGCTTTGCGCCAGTGTCGTGGATAGCGGCCGAGCTGAGAGGCTTGGTGTCGCCAGTGTCGTGGATAGCGGCCGAGCTGAGAGACCACCCCCTGCGCACCCCCTGTGGTGTCGAGAAAGTGCCACGCCTGCTAGGCTTTGCGCCAGTGTCGTGGATAGCGGCCGCCTGAGAGACCACCCCCTGCGCACCCCCTGTGGTGTCGAGAAAGTGCCACGCCTGCTAGGCTTTGCGCCAGTGTCGTGGATAGCGGCCGAGCTGAGAGACCACCCTCTGCCAACCCCCTTTGGTGTCGAGAGAGTGCCACGCCTGCTAGGTTTTGCGCCAGTGTCGTGGATAGCGACCGAGCTGAGAGACTACCCCCTGCGCACCCCCTGTGGTGTCGCGAAAGTGCCACGCCTGCTAGGCTTTGCGCCAGTGTCGTGGATAGCGGCCGAGCTGAGAGACCACCCCTTGCCCACCCCCTTTGGTGTCGAGAGGGTGCCACGCCTGCTAGGTTTTGCGCCAGTGTCGTGGATAGCGGCCGGGCTGAGAGACCAACCCCTGCGCATCCCCTGTGGTGTCGAGAAAGTGCCACGAGCTGTGCTGTGCTGTGTTGTGCTGAGCTGAGCCGTGCTGGGCTGTGCTGAGCTGTGCTGAGCTGAGCCGAGCTGTGCTGCGCTGAGCTGAGCTGAGCTGTGCTGTGCTGTGCTGTGCTGAAGGAGGAGAGAGGAGATGAGGTGCGAGGTGAGGTGAGGTGAGACGCGGGTGCGCCGCGGCAGGGAAGAAAACCAGAACCCCACGAAACATGTGGGGAAACAAATGTTTCCCACAGGTAAAAAAAAACAGCATAGTGCAGCGTTTCGGATGGGCCATGCGGTAATGGAGTCTCGCTTTGATGTAACAGATTAGCTTGAGTAGGTCCATAGCTTGCTGCCTGGTCCATTTTGTCACACACGGCCGAAAGCGAGCTGCGCGCCCTCCGCAAACGCGGGCAGGAGCAGATCCTCATTGCTGAGGACCAGCAGCGAATCGAGATCCCCATCATGGCCCACGCTACGATACGCACTGCAAAGCGCTTGCGCACGACCAAAGAGCAGATCAACGAGCACTTCATTGAGCTTCTCAAGCAGGCCGCCTCTGTCCCAGTGCCTGCAGGACCCTCTCTTTAGCCTCCGTTGGTGCGCTGGGTGTCTGCGGTATGAGTGCGTGTGTGCGCGCGCGTGGGTGGCGCGCCCCAGGCACTCCTGTTGCCGCGCCCCGGTCGGGACTTCGAGGCTCAGGGGGGTGCCTTGTGGAGGAAGTGGCAGTCGTGAGGCCCGTGGGCCCTCCGAGTGGCGCGGGCCCCCGTTCGGGGGCTGCTGTCGGCACGAGGAGTGGGAATCGCGCCGCTGCTTCGCGAACGGGCCCCCCGTTCCTCTCTCGTCGGCCTGGGGCTTTGGAGCTCTCCAAGGGGCCCTTCCTCCGACGGGGGGGGGGTCTGAGGGATCGATGGATCGGGGGGTGGTGAGACCGAGGGGGATTTGAGACCAAAGAGGTGCGGGTGGAGCGCTGATATGCTTCATGGCAACGAAGCTGAAATTGCAGGTGGTATCTTTGGAACGTTACCGCCATCCTGTCATAGCCCCCCGCGCTCTGAGCTCTTCGCCCTGTTGATGTTGCTTGCGTTCACGGAAGGAAATATTCGGATGTTTTCAGAGTATCCTCCCCATCGCGCGGAGCTTTCGGAAAGCTCCCGAGCATGTTGTGAGGAGTAAGAGTAGCATGCTGGACCTTTGGGCTCGTGTCTGGGATCGCTTCGGGACGCGTTCGGGCCAGGCTGATCTCCGCTGGGCGAAATCCCACCTCTCCCGGGCACAAATCGATGAGATGCAAATCTCGAGATGGTAGCTCATTTTGAACGGTGCAGCTGGCCTGCGCGCTGGCGAAGGCGCCCGCAGGGGCCGGTTGGGAGTCCAGGAAGGTAATGCTGTCCGTGACGCGGGCGCCCACCAGGAGAAGATGTTGTTGCGCCTCCTTGCTATCCAGCGCGAAGTGTTCCTCGCCTGCCCCCGAAAGGCCCCTTTCCCCAAAGGTCTCGCGGCTGCCCGCAAGAGGTCGGGCATCACTAGTGCTGAGGCGAGAGAGAGAGAGAGAGAGAGAGAGACAGCGGCTGCTGGCCTCTGGCCATGACGCCTCTCGTTCCGGCACGGTGTTCCGTTGTTCTCGGCGTGCCCGATCGTTTCCTCGCAAGGGTCCCTTGTCGCATTTCTGGCTTAAGATTTGCGCCCCCTTGTCGGAGTTCGGACAGGTCTCGGGGGAGTGGGCTCCCCAGGCGGAGAGGGAGAGCGCCGAGCTGCCCCCGCCGGTGGCGGCGGACCTGCGGCGCGCCGCCCACCCTCCGACCATCCCATGTTCTCTGCCGCCCATCCCTCGCACGCTCTCGCTACATGTCAGGGCGTGTTGTTTTGTCGAGTGCGTGGGGCGTTCGGTCCTGATTAGGCCCGCAAGCTGTTGTGTGAATTCGGGCCTCCATCGGCGAAGGGACGGGAGGCCCTCTTTCGGTTGTCTCGAGGTCTCCCGCATAAGTCAGGCATGCGTTTCCCCGCGCGGGGGTGGGTGTCATGCGCGCCCGGGCTCGCTCCTGGTCACCGCATTCAGCACACTCGCAATCGCAATATTTTCCTCTTCCTCCTCCTCCTCTTCCTCCTCCTCCTCCTCTTCCTCCTCCTCCTCCTCCTCCTCTTCCTCCTCCTCCTCCGTCTCCTCCTCCGCATCCTCCCCCTCCGCCTCCTCCGCCTCTGCCTCCTCCGCATCCTCCTCCTCCTCCCTCTTTCCTCCTCCTCCTCCTCCTCCTCCTCCTCCTCCTCCCCCTCCTCCCTCCTCTCCTCCTCCTCCTTCCCCCAACCTCTTCTCCCCCCCTTTTTCCTCCTCCTCCTCTCCTCCTCCTCCTCCTCCTCCTCCTGTTCCTCCTCCCCCGTCGACCTCCTCTTTTTTATTTGGCCTTCTTTTTTTTTTTATTTTTATTATTCCTCTCCTCCTCCGCCCTCCTCCGCCTCCTCCGCCTCCGCCCCCTCGCATCCTCCTCCTCCTCCTCCTCTTCTTTTTCCTCCTCCTCCTCCCCCCTCTTCTCCCTCCCCTCCTCCTCCTCCTCCTCCTCCTCCTCTTCCTCCTCTTCTTCCTCAGCCCCCATCCTCCTCCTCCGCCTCCACCGCCTCCTCCTCATCCTCCTCCTCCTCCTTCTCCTCCTCTTCTCCCTCTCTTTTTTCGTTCTCCTCCTCCTCCTCCTCCTCATCCTCCTCCTCCTGTTCCTCCTCCTTCCCGTCGACCTCCTCTTCTTTGTTTTTCTTCTTCTTCTTTTTCTTCTTCTTATTCTTATTATTCTTCTTCTTCTTATTATTCTTATTATCCTTCTTCTTCTTCTTCTTCGTCTTCTTCGTCTTCTTTTTTTTTTTCTTCTTCTTCTTCTTCTTCTTCTTCTTCTTTTTTGTCCCCCTCCTCCTCCTCCGGGGGGGGGCCCAGGGCCCATGGCCCCGTCGGCGGCGAGCCAGCGCAGAAGGGGGCGGGGCTTCCCAGCGGGCCCCGCAGGCCCGAGGCCCCCCGTGGATTCCCGCGCCTCCCCCGAAGACGCAGAGAGCCTTTCGAAGAGGCGGGGGGTTTCCGAGAAACCCCGCCGCGTGAGGCTCGGCAGGCCTCGGGTTTCCTGAGGAGCTCTCTCAGCCTCCTCCGAAGGCGCAGAGATCCTCTCGGAAGGGCGGGGGGCTTCCGGGACGCCCCGCCCGAAAAGGCCCCCCCCCCCCCCACCCGTCACGCCCAACCCGGCGCGCCGCCAAGTTCGGCTTCATGCCAAGGCGCGCAGCGCCACGCTCTGGCCAGGGGCCAGCCATCCGCCGCGGCTCCCCGTCGCGCGTCGGCGCGGTGCTGTTCCTCGCGCTCCCGGGTGCGCGGCGCGCTTTCCGAGTGCAGGGCGACGGAGCGGGGGGCCCAAGATGCGACGCATCTCAGCTCGGTGCATTGCACTTCGCACCGCCTTGCTTGACAGCGCATGGCTCTGGTTCCCATGAAAACGAGCCTTTGGTCTGGGTCGCGCCAGATTCGAGTGCGATGGGTTGTGCCGTTGCGTCTATAAGTTCGGTGGTTGGGGGGGTATAGGAACGAGGGGCGAGGGAAAAGGGGGGAGGGGGGAGAAGGCAGGAGGCCGAGGAGGAAAAAGGAAGGGCGACGAGGAGGAGGAGGAGGAGGAGGAGGAGGGCGAGGAGGAGGAGGAGGAGGAGGGCGAGGAGGAGGCTGAAGAGGAGGAGGAGGAGGTGGAGGGCGAAGAGGAGGAGGAGGAGGAGGAGGAGGAGGAGGAGGAGGAGGAGGAGGAGGAGGAGGAGCAGCAAACGAGGAGAAGCAAGGGAGCAGGACGGGGAGGAGCGACAGCGGCAGGAGCAACAGGAGGGTCTCGAACAGGGGGCGAAGGAGGGCTGGAAGGGGCGAGGAGGGCCGCGGTGCGGAGACCCGGCAGGCCCCGCGGCGTCCAAGGAGTGGAAGACGGACAGGGTCATCTCGTGGACCCCGATCCGGCAGGCTTGCTCGGGGCTCAAGAGATGGGGTCAATGCTAACGTCAGGAGGGGAAAACACACACAGACACAATTAATCCTCGATTCCCAGAAGATATGGGAACAGATGGGAAGTGGGGGGAAAACAGAAACTTAGAAAATATTTGAATAGATGGGGAATCTTTTTATTTGTGTGTGTGTATTTTTTATTTATGTATCCCAGGGCCCCTTCATAACGGGCCTCCGGCCCAGAAGGCTCGGAGGCCTTCGGCCTTCTGAGAAGGCCGGAGGGTTCCTGGGGGGCCCCGCCTTCCGAGAAGGCCCGCCCCCTCCGCCCTCCCCCCCTCTGCTCGCCGCCGAGCCCAGGAAGGCGCCCCAGCGATCCCGGCGTGCGCGGCGGTATCGAGGGTCGGGAGCCTTGAGACGGAGGTCAATGCAAACGCGGGTCAGCCAGAGCGCTGGATCTTGCAGGATCCTGCAGGGCCAGGGTCGCATTGACCAGGGCTTGGGTGCAGGATCTTGCAGGATTTTTCGCATTGGCCCAGGTCCGTTGGGTACAGTATCTTGCAGGATTCTGCAGGGTTTGACTGAGTCGGGTCTGGAGTGGCACGTTTCAGATCGGGGCGATCTACGTGAATTGACGCCATAGGACGTTGCATTTGCAACACAGTGGAGTGTGACGACATGTTGCGGAGATCTCAAATATTGCACCAACGAAGCACTGGGATATGATTGGAACCGAATGTATACAACGCGCCGCACATGCGAAAGTATGGAAAATTGCACATAAAAGCTCAGAGGTCCGTGCGGATTTCTCGGATCCGCACTGGGGCCCACTGGCGGCGCCTCCAGCGCCGCCCCTGGCGCGTTCCGCGCGCCAGGTAGGGGGGTCCAGCGCCGTTCCGAGAAATCCACGCAGACCTCCGAGTTGATTTATGTTTATGTCATTGTTCGATCCCCTATTCAGATCGGGACGATCGAAATGGGTACGGAAAAATCACCGAGCGCGTTCCGCTACTCGCGAAGTGGGATCGCAAATCCCCCATGGCGGATCCAGGCCATTTGCGAGCAGCTATTCAGCGAGCAGTGGAGCGCGGTTGTCTAGAACAGAAGGGGCACGTAGACCGACAAGATCTCCTTTGCATCTTGGCAAGGGCTCGCCGTCTGTATCGCCGCGGGCGGTGCCCATGTGAGACGGAAGGCCACCTGCTGAACAGCGGCTGCTCTGGGTTTTCGGCAACATTTGTTGTTCGGCGGCGTACCAATGTTTGTCCCTACTCATTTCGGGCGTCCAAATTAGAGGAGCAGGAGGTCATGTGAATGGCACCCTACCAGTCTTCCCATATTCCGAAGACGATGTCACGATGCTCCACATGGGTTGCAGAAGCGAGGGCCGCCTGAAAGCCTGGAAGTCCTGACGCGCATCCCTAGCCAATTCCATCACGACATCCTTCGCGTCCTGATGCGTGTCCCAGGAGGAGGAGGAGGAGGAGGAGGAGGAGGAGGAGGAGGAGGAGGAGGAGGAGGAGGAGGAGGCATCATCGGGGGTTGCCAGGTGCCCCTGGCCCATGGTGTCACCAGGATCTTTATAGGGAGGGCCAGATGGCCCCACAAGAGCACCCCTTGCCCGCGAGGCCCCTGGGCGCTCCCAAGTGGCTGGAGAAGCTGAGAACACGTTGGGTTAAGTCGGGCACGTCCCTCTACAGGAGGAATGTTAAAAATTGTGAAAAATATAGTTAAGAGACGATGTGTTACCACCTTTGACTATGCTTGAATATGGTTTGGCTGTTTTGTGTTTTCTCCCAACATCCGCCCGTAGGGGGACACGCCCGATCGAAGCCCTGAGCCAGGGCCACCCTTGGCAGCCCCCCTGGAGGAAGGAACGCCGCGCTCCCCTCGGCGTCCCGCTTGTCCCATCTCCTCGCCCTCCTCGGCAGTGTATACCCGTTGTCCCCCTGGAAGCCCCCCAGACGGAGGAGCGCCTCGTGCCCCTCGTCGTCCCGCTTGTCCCATCTCTCGCTCTCCTCGGTCGTACGGATTTGTCCTCTGCCGACCGTCGCGAAGGAGTGCCATGTGGGGTGCGGTCGTCACCCTTCTGGTGATGACAGAGCCGTGTGTGTGTGTGTGTGCTCGATGAGCGGCATCGTTCGGTGCGCGTATGGTAGTAGCGCTTTTTTCTTGCGCAGGATGCAGACGTCAATGCCAATTCTTCATGGCGCTGCAACTGCAACTGCACTCGGCACTGTCGAAGGGAAAGAGAGCGTCTCTTATTGTGTTGTGCAGAAACCGTACTTTTGTGATTCGGAACCGGAGCATTTCAAACCCCCAGACCCTTCCCCCCCTTCTCCGTAACTGGCCACCACCCACTTGCAAGGACCCTCCCGCACAACCTCCCCCTCTGAAAGTGTGTGGGGGGTGGACGACGGCAGCGAACGACGATGACGAACACGACGACGGCCGCGGCGGCGTCGACGACGACGATGGTGCTGGCGTTGACGACAGTGAGGAGGAGGACGACAACGACGACCAAACATTGCTAACGACGACCAGGGTGGCACAGTACAGCGTCGGGCACGTCGGGCGGGCGGTGCATCTAATTACAGCGGGCTCGTCGATTGGCCAGGCGGTTTCCAGGCTGGCGGGCGGGAGATGACCCTCTTTGCCCCCTCCCTCCATCCCTCCTTCCTCTCGCCTGTCTTGCACCGTGGACCGCCGCCGCCGCCTCTGAGCGCCCCGAACAGCTGGAGGGCGAGGCCCGGTGGGAGTGCTCCCCCCCTCGTTCTGTGGGCCGGCGGGCGTTCGGCTGCGGCTTTTGCGTCCAGGCCATTCCCCTTCTCCTCCTCCTCCTCCTCCGCCTCCTCCTCCTCCTCCTCCTCCTCCTCCTCCTCCTCCTCCTCCTCCTCCTCCTCCTCCTCCCCTCTCCCTCCTCCACCGCTCCGCCGACGCCCCCAACACACCCCGCCAGGCCAGCCGGCTGGAGGCCTCGGTGTGGAGGGGCGTGTCGCTGTCGGAGGCGGCGCCCGAGGTGCCGGACGGTCGCGCGGCCGTCCGCCGCCGTTCTTGCTTCCGCGCACACCTCGTCGTCGTCCTCGGGCCTCGTCTTCGGCCCTGTCGTCGGCCTCGTCAGCTCTGACCATGATGGCAGAAAGTTTGCAGGCTAATGTTTATGTCTCGATCTTGTGTCTGAGATTCGTAGATCGGCGGCTGGAGAGGGCCCGCTTTGCCCCACCCCAGATTTGGCGCGAAGCCGAGGACGAAGCCGAGGACGGTCCTCGGCTTCGTCCGCCCCTCAATTCCGCTCCCACTCTTGTCGCTGGTTCTCCTCCTCCTCCGTGCTCGTCTTGCTCGTCGTCGTCGTCTTCCCTCCTCCTCCTCGTCCTCCTCTACACCCCCCCCCCTGCCCCCAGTCAGTTCGGCTCAAGTGCTTGAGGTCCACAGGGGCCCAAGTGGAGACCGCTGATCCGCGGCAGAGCCAGGGCCTTGGGCTCGCCATCATCTCCCTCGCCCTCCTCCTCCTCCTCCTCCTCCTCCTCCTCCTCCTCCTCCTCCTCCTCCTCCTCCTCCTCCTCCTCCTCCTCCTCCTCCTCCTCCTCCTCCTCCTCCTCCCCCTCCTCCCCCCTCGCTCGACCGCGCCCGTTCGTTCAGGAAGTGGATCTCTTTCGTCAGCGGTGTTCGTAGTGCCTTGGCATGGTGGAGGCGGGCCCGCGCGTCGACCGCACGTGCTCGGGCTGTAGCTACCCGTGGTCACCACCCACCAAATCGGGGCTGGACAGAACCCCCCACAGTGACACGTCGATTAGTGAATTGTCCGTTTTCGGTTCTCGAGAGGGCGCCGCGGCCGTTATTTTCCAGGCTTTTCGCCCGCCACGTTTGGGCCTCAGGTCGTTTTCACTAAACCACGTTGTACTAAAGGGGGGTCTGTCCATCCCCGACCAAACCACCCCAACCCAACCCGAAGGCCCAAATTTATCCTCGATTTCCAGTGGGGGGCGGATCGGGGAACATCGAAAAAACACATGGAATCCGTACCCCCCCCCCCAACCCGAAATTCGGGTCAAATTCGGGCCTTCGGGTTGGGTTGGGGTGGTCTGGTAGGTAGTCGTGTGGAACATCAAACGGAGCTTTTGCTGCGTCCAGTGCGGCTCCAACCTGGGGATGCCTCCAACACCCTGGCGTGAGCCGTCAGTACCGTGGTCGGATTCCAGCCAGGAGAAGAGTAAGGCCTGGCCAGAAACCAGAAGCCAGAAGCAAAGTGAGCCATCAGTTATTCGGGCTAGCAGCTGCAGGCCTTTTTTGGTAGCTCCTTCAGTTCTGGAAGCCATGATTCCCAGGCCTTCGAGGGGAGAGAGAGCGGTGGCGTTATTGCCATTTCCCCCTGCGCGTCTTGAGCCGTATACGCAAGTCCGTGGGGGCGTCTAGGTGTGATTGTAAGGCCGGCTTTGAGGATCGGGCGATTGGGGGTAGTTATGCGTTCTGTTGTGGTATGTTGACCTCGGAGGCCCTGAGCGTGACCCACGGCAGCCTAACTCAGTCACGCGCAGAGGGGTCTGGGGGGAGGAGGGAGGGCTGCTTAGAAGCACCCCTGCTTCTTGGAAGGCGCGGGCCTTATCTATGGGTTTAAGGCCACCGCCTTCTAGGAGGCCGCCTCCTTCTGATGAGCCCTCCCCCCTTCCTCCACCCCCCTTGTGCGCGCCGCCACCTGACGTGAGGCCTCGCCGAGCTTTACGACTCCCTGGACCTTGCCTGAGCTTGGCGGCCGCCCCAGGTCGGGACCTCCCTGCGGTCCCCGTGGGTCAGGAGGGGAAGAAACACACAGACACAATGAATCATCGATTTTCCAGAAAATATGGGAAAATTTGGGAAGTGGGGGGGAAGACAAAAGCCCAGAAAATATGGGAAAATATAGGGCAAATTTCTATGTGTGTGTATTTATTTGTGTGTCCTGGGGGCCCTTCAGTGGGGCTCTCCCCGGGGCTTCACCTCGCCCCCCCGACGGCATCCCTGCGAGGGGGGTGCGCTTTCCGGGCCCATTGGAGCCCGCGGCGCCCCTCCTCACGGGCGGTGGGGGGTTGCGAAGGCTTCGGCCTCGACCTCGGTGGGGTCCGAGCAGAGGGGGGTCGGAGGATCGCGCCGCACCGCCGACGCCTCGCCGAGGAGGCACGGTGTGGAGCCCGACTTTCGCAGCCCCGACGTCGCCAATGCACCGCCGACGTCGCCAGTGCATGGCCGATGCATCGCCGATGCATCGCCGATGTGTCGGCGATGCGGCGAGATCCTCCGACCCCATGTATTCCGACCCCATCTAGGAGCCCTCTAGAGTGATTTCGCCGTGCTCTTCTTGATTGATTCAGAGCGTGCGCGTGGAGCCTGTTTCTCCAAGGAGTCTCCTCGGCGCAGAGGGTCGCGAGGGCCCGCGTCATGTCATTGTGCCATCTTGCAGTGGCGTCTTGCGAACTTTGCGCGGCTGCGTCGGCCATCGGACTCGACATCTGGAACATCGGCGGCGGTGGCCAGATCCCTAGAGCTTGCGCGTGAGATCTCTTGGGCCGCTGTCAAGGTGCCCGGCCATCCAGCACGGTTGCAGACTTGGGTCTTGGCCGAGGTTCGGGCCGCCTGTCTCGTGAGAAGCATGGCCAGTGAGTGGCGATGAGCTTGACGCAGTCGTTCAATCTAGAACGGATTTCCATTGTCGGACGTGTGCGCCGTGCCAGGGGAAATTCGGGCCGGGCGAAAGGGGGGGATTGGGAAAGGGGGGGGTACGAAATTTGCTGCATGCAGCTGGTTTCGGCCTCACCGAGGGGCCCATTCCTCGATACAGCCGCCTCCGGCGCCGGGAGGCGCCGGGAAGATCAGCTACGTGAGTTGATTCTCAAACCCCCCTTTGCTATCCCCCCCTTTCGCCCGACCCGAGAAATGTTGTTCTGATGTCTCGGGGCGCCCCAGTTGCCAGTATGGTGCCCTGAGCCACGGGGTGGCGCTCTGGGTTGCCTTGCGCGCCCAAGACGTCGGCCACGGGCGCGGCCCTCGGGCCCTCCAAAGAATGCCGGTGACGAACCGCGTGCCTCTGACCTGCCCCGGCTTCGGGTAGGGTATGGCTGGGCATGCTGGGCTGACAGGGGGAAGGGGGAAGAGCGCCCGCGCGCCGTCTTCGCACGGTAGCGGTTGAGCTTGTCTTGTGCCAGTGTGCAAGCTTGATCGAGCTCTCCACCGATCTTTTCTCTGGGTGTGCACGTTCGGGCCAGGCTCCCTCGTAGCCGGGCCAGGACGGCCCAGAAACCCCTGCAGGCCAGGGCGAACCGCAGGTGGACCCGGGTCTCGGGACCCGTCTCGGGGACTCTGTCGGCGCTTTGGGACCGTGCTTGGCACCCGCAGGACCTCCAGAGCCGGAGTGGTTAGCCCCGACGGGCAGTTCCTGGAGGTTGGAGCTTCCAGAGCACGGCTCCATTGACTTTGAGAACCTTGAGGAGAGAGGCCGTCCTGACCGTCTGGGCTGGATTGTGGCGTCGCGCGGCCGCCCACTGTCAAGGAACAGGGGCTGAAGGGGGGCTTCGATACGCACTCCTTCCGAAGGTGGCTTTTTGAGCTGCATCGGAAGGCCTCTCAGCAGGCTCTGTGCACCCGAGGATCCCCACAGCGGTAGGATGCTCCACTTAGGACTGATCGGAGAGTCCGACTCATACTGCCAGCGTTGCCCTGCGCACGTGGCCAAGAGGTGTTCATCGAGTATGGGGCTGTGCCGCCAATTGCGAGCTCCAGGAATGTTGCGACATAGCTGGCCTCGACGCCCACGCGAGAATGGAGTGGCAGGCGCGTCTAGTCTAGTTGTCTGGTTGCGTGGCCGTATACCATCGGCGTGGACCGAGGTCACCTCGCCAGCTGAGGACAATACCGAGTGGGAGTTGCTTCGCGCTGCTGGAGGCAGCTGGCCGAATGGTGGGGTGGAGTGGTGGAGGGAGGCGGGCGGGTCGGGAGGGGCTCGCTCTCTGGATCCGCGTCGCCGCCGCTGTTTGCACGCTGGCCGAGGCGTGCTCATATTGCACTTGGGATCTAGTCGACGAGGTCGAGGGACTGGCGGGAGGCTTGCCAGGGCCGGCGCAGACTTTCAATCGCATGGAGTTGCTGGCGTGGGTTCGCTGGACGGAAAGCTGTGCCAGCTCTAGAAGGTCCCTTCATTCCATTACCGATTCGACTTGTGTTGGGAGGGGGGTCTGTAGACCCCGTTCGAAGCGTCCGCGGACCAATCGAGGCCTCTGGCGGCGCCTTCGGGAGGCCCCCGAAGGGGCGCAGCTGACCACCCAGAAGGTGGAGTCCCACGCGTCCAAGGAAACAGCAAGTTTCCCAGGCATCCCTGGGCTCTGGGGGGTGGGGCGGCACAGGGTTCAGCTTGCAAGGGCGGAAGTCGACAAGGTTCGCGAGACGGAGCGTCTCGCGAGTAGGATTCGGAAGACGCATATGGCTGAGCTCGACGGGCGTGCCCGTTGCGGTCCTCGCGGCCCTGGCCGAGTTCGAACATGCCCCGCCCAAGCCGAAGTTCGCCCGAGCCAAGGCCTTCGATCTGATCAGGGCCAGGACTGCCCATGATGTAGTTCTGCCGGAGAGCCAGCGGGGGAAGGATGGCTCCCTCCTCTTGGAGGCCCTCCTGGAGGAAACACGTGCGGTCGTGGCGGGCCCGCCGCGCGCCGCCGAAGCGGCAATGTCCGCCTCGGCCACGGTCTCGCGGAGACCATTGGGCCGCGCTCGAAAAGCTCGAAAGGCTCCCTCCTCTCATGCCCCCGTCAGGCGATCGCAAACATGGATCAAGGGGGCGTGGATTAGCGACGGGTCCCGTCTCCATGGGGAATCGCGGATTTCCGCCGCCGAGCGAGCCGGCACCACCCGCATTTTGGAGAGGGCACCTCCCCCGATCCATGGATTTGGCGACGGCGCGCCAAATCCATGGATCGCTAATCCATGTCTGCGTACCCCCAGCCCCGTTGTCTGGGGTCGCGGGGGTTTCCGCCGAGAGGCCGCGGAGTTGCGTTGTTCCTCCCCGTGC